TGAGAAAGGAATGCCAGTCCATGAGAGCAATGAATTCATTTTTACGACATCCAATATTTATAAGGACATTACCAAAATATTCAACCCTTGAAAAGTCTTTATTTTCATCTTCATTCATGTCAACTTCACTCGGACTCTCATAGAGACAAACCCTTCTTATCCCTTTCGCCTTAGTTTGGTAAATACCCAGTGTATATATATATATATATATATATATATATATATATATATATATATATATATATATATATATATGTGTGTGTGTGTGTATATATATATATATATATATAAAAACCAAAATTTTAAAGTTGCATTAACCTACGAACCACTCGATGAATGTTATGATCCTTGTTTTTAATAACTACAAGCTGTATAAAGTCTTTTTTTTAATCTGCTAGTACTTTCAACTGTACATACAGCCATCCTCAGACATGGAAATTATTTTGTTTTTAGTAAATCCAGGTAACATTAGAGACGAAAGATTAAATGCGAATCGAAATATGTTTTTTTTAGAAATGTGTTATTATTAACGGATAAAAACCGTTGGAACGTGCAGTCGCAACGCTAAGGTTGATTTATTTTTGAAAATTTGAGAGAGTGCGGTTTTTATTAATATGTTAATTTGAGAATTTTTTTGTTTTAGGAGTTATCAGTCAATCTGGCATGAACTAAATTGTTCAATAAATAGAGTAATGTCTCAGCTGTTATTCAGAAAATTTGCACGTCGGATAGGTTCTTTTAAATCAAACATGCGGTGCAGTTCAATTTATATTACAATGAATCATTCATACCTTATACAGTTTGTAGTTATTAAAAACAAGGATCATAATATTCATCGAGTGGTTCGTAAGTTAACTTTAAAATTTTGTTAGCGAAGGGATTTCGCCATTTTATATCATTAACTTTACTAATCTACTTTTTGTATGAATGATTCATTGTAATATAGATTGAACTGCACCACACATTTGAGATATATGTGTGTGTGTGTGTGTGTGTGTGTGTGTGTGTGTGTGTGTGTGTGTGTGTAAAAATTGACAGTGGATTAATGTATAGCGGAATCGGTGGAACGAGTTCGAATTCCAGTCGAATCCATTACATTCACTTACATGGTAATACCCTTGGGAAAGGTATGAATCCTCTTCTCCCCAGGTAAATAGCAGGACAGACAGAGTTGTACAGCTTTGGATGGCAACTGGTCTACCACAGAAAGAAATAGCAACCTACCGCGAGAAAAAAATCTGCCTCGTCAGTCATGTATCGAAAGGTACATGATCGCTTAAGCGTGTATCACGCATGGCACATAACTGACTGAATCTAAAAATATAGACTGTACCAGAGGTAGTGCTCAACAATTCAAATTACTACAAAACCAAAGCATTAACTTAAAAACTCGAGTCATGTTCTTAAATAGCCTCGTCAGGTCGAGACTTTCATGTGGATGCCATACATAGCGTCAAAGATCTCTAAACCTTCAGCTATTTACAACCGCTTTCTAAGATCAATGGTGAAAAAAATGAATAAAACCTAAGGGTCTTGGCAAAGATCATCCTTCTTTGAACATTACAAACTGGCGCTACAGAATCACAAAGAACTGTACCAAATAGGAGAAACTAGTTCACTTGAGGACTACCAACAGTAGTAATAACTAAAATGGATAGCACATGTAATTAGAAGAGAAAATAATGACATAATCAAGATTTTAAAATTCCACACCTTTTCAAATGTCAGCAAGGAATAACCCCCACCCACCCGCCAAATACTGGAAAGATCGATAACAACTACTGAACTTGAGAAATCGGTTTTCCTATAAAAATGTTTTAATAGAAAGATTTTATCAATGTCAATCGAAAGCAGTAGTAGCTGCTCGGTCAATGAACGTCAAAATGTTGCCTTTTAGGGAAACGGGGTTAATATTACCCCCCCCCCCCCGGACACTATATATATTTGTGTATTTAGGCAGCAAGCCTTCTTTCATGCACATTTCATTGAATACGACAGACAAGGTGCTTTTATTTAGTTTTTTTATACAATTTCTCATGCGATCTAATAATTTTTTTTTCTTTTCGGATGATAAATTATATAAAAACTGTCCGAATGTTCTTTTTATCCGAGTGTTTTAAAAAAATGAAGGCATTTTATAAAACATACATACAACAAACTACTTCTTATTTAACAGTAAAAATATTTCATCCTTGAAAATGGCTAAATGTATAACCGAAAGCGCTCGGATAAAAAGAACATTCGGACAGTTTTTATTATAATTTATCATCTGAAAAGAAGAAAAATTATTAGATCGCATGAGAAATTGTATAAAAAACTAAATAAAAGCACCTTGTCTGTCGTATTCAATGAAATATATATATATATATATATATATATATATATATATATATATATATATATATATATATATATATATATATATATATATCGGTACCAAAAGATTCGCTAAAATGATGGGAAAAAAAATCTCCCAAACTAAATTTTAAAAGATTTTATTAAGAGGAAATACTAAAGAGATTTTTTATTATTAAATTATATTTTTAATCCATTTTGAGAACCTTCAAAGTTTTGGTTAAATTTCTTTTCTTGCGTCACAGAGGATTACCATAAATTAGTGTAAATAATTTTAGCGCGTTTTTGTGGGGAAAAACAGATTTGGAAATTCTTACAAAAACCAAATAATTGTCAGATTTTAATGAAACTTTCAACCCTGATTCACAAATGAATAAATTTATTTGAGAAATGTTTCTTTAGAAAATCTTGCTATATATCTCAAATCGTATTTAATTTATGAAATTTCGAGAAATTCATTTTTGTAGAGCTGTCCTTTTATAGTAGTTATATGCCCCTGGAGAATTTAAATGATCATTTTTTTCTTTTTTTTTTTTTGTATGCCAGGAATCCTAGTTATAGAAAATCTGCTGTGAATCGTAAAGTAAAAATGCAATAACACTAAGACATTATTTAATTAGAAAAACTTTTAATTGCTTTTATGAATAAGATATTTTATGGACATTATTGTCTTAAGAAAAAAATTCGATGAATTTTTACAAGAATTTACATTGTCAGAAAAGAAGAGCTATAACTATAGTTGATTTAAAACCGAACTACCTAAAATTCAAATAAATAAATTAATTAGAATATTTTCCTAGGTAGTTGAATATATACTTTCCCTGACGATCCGTTTAGGTGAAACCTAGGTAGGTTTGTCTGGCTCACTAGGTGTATATATATATATATATATATATATATATATATATATATATATATATATATATATATATATAAGGCGCTTGCGTTATCTACGTCAAGTAATTCTTACAATTCCACGTATAAAAGAATTCATATGCATAAGTCTATGGAGATCAACACCCCATAAAAAAAACACCCACCCACGTGTTAAAAAATGCTTTTCTGCGATATTTTAATAATTTTTATACTCGAGTATAAGTGAGATTATTTTTTTGTTTTTGTTATTTTTGCATAATTTTTTTAATCACTTTACCTGTGTATGGACTATACACAGGTAAAGTGTAACTGGTCACCGACAACACATGAATTGTATCATCTTCCAAAAAATTACCTGTGTATAGTGCGATTCCCTATTTTGTTTTCGTAAAAAATGACATTAATATTCACAATATAGTCAAGTATATGCAGTATTTGTTTCAAATCAGATTAATTAAAGAGATTAAACTTTAAATCAGTAAATCTTCCTCAAATAAAGTTTCAGAAAAGTATATTTTTTTTAAAGATTCCTTAAAGAGAATTACGTTGTGATGAGTGATTTGTAAATATGGCTAAAATGAGCCATTTTTAGTGATTACAAAAATTCATTCCAATCCATTTAAATTCGTTTTGAAATACAGCAAAGTATTTTGTTTATTGGAAATATTAAATTTAAAACTAAAATAAAAGTTTAAAAAGAATTTTTCATTTTTACAAATTAATTTGAAACCCGAGGTATCGCGTTTCTTTGGGGTTGGGGGATAGAACAATGTGACAAACTGGAAAGGATTTTTGTGACGTGGTTCATCCGACCGGGCTTCGTTGACGTAGTACGTTGATTATATATTGTTTCCCGCAAACATGAGAACGCCGGAGTTAAACAAAAAACAGTCGTTTAAGGATTGTGTTTTTGTTTAACACCGGCGTTGAGCAGTTTTACTACGGTATTGCCGTTAACGCCACTTTAAACTGACCTTGTGTCACATTCGGTAGCGACGTGGACGAACTGAAAAAATATTTTTCCTGAATATTTTGTTAAAGTTCTTAATCTCAAATATTTAACGATGTGATATTGAAATTTCCACGGATATTTTATGGCCGTGGAACTCGTAAGAAGTTTATCTTCTTGCGTGAACCAGTCTTTTTTTTTTCTTTTGTTTTTCTCTAAAAAAACCAAAATGTGTTTAAGCGACAAAATGGCAGTTTAGGAATAATCATGAAGACAACGAAGATTTTTCTATTTTTTCATATATTAGACTAATAAAAATAAAGTTTGTTTCAGACTGAGAGACATGAAGATATGGATAATTTACTTGACCCAAGTCTATAAGAAACTGAATAAAGGACTGAATCTAATGCAGCACGGATTTTTGAGGTTACACTTTGTGAGCAGTAGTAATTGTGAACTCTCCTATCGTCTCACAAAGAGACTGCTTCGAAGGATACCTTGGAAACTGTTGGGCAAGTTGTTTTCTTTTGTTCTGTTAAAACTGCAGAAAAAATTAGGGAGTATCTCGATGTGATTGATACAAGCGGTCGATGATCAAACCCAGGTTAAAAGCGAAAATTCAAAATGCTGATTTTCAAAGCATCTCCTTTCGTGCTTTCCTCCCCCTCTTTCCATTTACCCCTGAGGCTCACCAAGCTGATTACATGCAAGGGCTAATTTAGATCTAGGCCAATTTAGACGGAAGAAGACTGAACACACACGGACGGACGGGCAGTTTTGAATAGAATGAGAATTGCTGACAGATTTTTAACAATGATTTTTAACAAACGGGCGGATGAGAAATGGGGGACACAAACGGGCGGATTTGAATGAAATGTGGGAAATGAAATGTGGGGACACAAACGGGCGGATTTGAATGAAAAACGGGCGGATTTGGGGGGACACAAACGGGCGGATTGGGGACACAAACGGGCGGATTTGAATGAAATGTGGGGACACAAACGAAATGAAATGTGGGGACACAAACGGGGGACACAAACGGGCGGATTTGAATGAAATGTGGGGACACAAACAGGGGACACAAACGGGCGGATTTGAATGAAATGTGGGGACACAAACGGGCGGATTTGAATGAAATGTGGGGACACAAACGGGGGGACACAAACGGGCGGATTTGAATGAAATGTGGGCGGATTTGAAAAATGAAATGGGGACACAAACGGGCGGATTTGAATGAAATGTGGGGACACAAACGGGCGGATTTGAATGAAATGTGGGGACACAAACGGGCGGATTTGAATGAAATGTGGGGACACAAACGGGCGGATTTGAATGAAATGTGGGGACACAAACGGGCGGATTTGAATGAAATGTGGGGACACAAACGGGCGGATTTGACACAAACGGGCGGATTTGAATGAAATGTGGGGACACAAACAAAAACAGGCGGATTTGAATGAAATGTGGGGACACAAACGGGCGGATTTGAATGAAAAATGTGGTGGGGACACAAACGGGCGGATTTGAATGAAATGTGGGGACACAAACGGGCGGATTTGAATGAAATGTGGGGACACACGGACGGGTGGATAACCCCCATGTTAAAACACATGTAGCAACCTGCAGGTCTTCACTAAAGAATACAAATCCGTTATGCGAAGAAAAGAAAGTAAGCTTAGCAGAGAAATTAATACAACTTGGGGGACATTAATAAAGAAAGAGAAATAACAAAGCTTCAGCAGCAGTAAGAAAAGAAAAGCCTCGGTGAATGCAATCAAGCGTGTCAAGTGTCAGCAAGAGGCAGATTAGGATTCAGGCTTTAGTTCTAGCCTCAGGAAAATCCTTAAATCAGCATTTTTAATCTCCGTTTTTAACTTGGGATCGCAAGGGAAGTATTATTCCCTGAAGTTCTGAGAACCGCCATTTTAACATGATAGATTAAAGTCCTTTAGTAAAGAACAAAAGCGGATTTCACTTGTTAACAGCTAAGTTAAGCTACAAAATACAGTAGAGGAGGACTTGCTTGTCTCCAATTTAAAAATATAATTGGTTAACAGCGTGACCAAAAACATGAGACAGATATTCATGAAAACACGTTAATAAGTGATAGACTGTTCAGGGTTTATGTAAAGAGTACAGTTTATTTTTGACAGTACGGGACAATAGCCTAGCGTTAGTTCGTGAATTTGGATACATAGTCATTTTAAGTTTAATCCCTGGGCCGGGCAGTGGAAGCTGGTCGAGCAATAACTGAGCAGTATTAAAAATAAGAACTACATGAGATATCCTTAGATATGGGCAGTGAAATTAGAACAGTCTTCCCCTAGTCTAGATTAAATAGTGTGTTCAGTTCGAAATTCCATGTAGGATACTCGGAGCGATATACACCTGATGAAGACCAGAAGGCACAACGCCCGAAACGTTGTGATAGCGACAATCAAGACGAGGACAATAGTTCGAATGTAAATAGTGTAAATAACTATTTGAGAAATTTAATTATGCAGTTCTTGTATCAAGTTTAAAAACTATTGTACACAGCTGGGTAAGAATTAACCCCCATCAACCCTTGGCTCTGTACGACTTGTTGAAAAACCATTTTTTTAAGCATTATTTACATTTGAATTATTGTCCTCGTCTTTCTCGCTATTATCCAGCTTTCTCTAAGTGATTAAACCCAGGTTAAAAGCGAAAATTCAAAATGCTGATTTTCAAAGCATCTCCTTTCGTGCTTCCCTCCCCGTCTCTCTATTTACCCCCGAGGCGCACCAAGCTGATTAAGTGATTATTAACGCCCTGGGAATTATGAATCGATCCATTATTTAATCCACTGACCATGCCTGGGGATATCTCGTTTGGTTCTTATCTGTCTATATCTCTGAGATGAGGTATTATGATTACTTGCATTATTTACATTATTCGGACTGTTATCCTCATCTTCATTGCTATATTCACAACGTTTCGGCCGTTGTACACCCCGGTGATTGGAATTTCGAACCACCGAGGTAGATTGTTCTAGTTCCAGGTACCATGCCTCTTCCGAAGGTCTCAGTTATTTCCCTTTAACTCAACTCTCCAAGTTTTGGTTCACCTCTGCTGTGACCTGGTATTGAACTTGCAACTCTTTGGGTTTAGTCACTGGATCTAACCAACGCCTTTATCCACTGGGCCATGTGTTTGGTTCTGATTTATTACTTCTCTGTTACTGCTTGCCTTGTTGCTACTGAGTTCAAGTTAGCACTACCTGCTCCAAGAATTAATCAAACGCTTGCCTTGCAATCCAACAGCCTCTCAGTTCTACTTCCATTTTGAATTCTCAAGCAATTTTTTCCACTGTTATACGTATGATTTCTGCATATGACTGAAATTCATTCCCGGGTTAAAATTCGTCCCTTGGGAGCCATATGCCTCTCGTTTGAGAATCAGTGCATTAAAAAAGAAAAAACGGCTTAAATGACAGATATATAAAATTACCTTTCTACAAAATATGCTTCAATTCTTACTTTTTAAAATTATACAAACTTTAAGAGGTCATAACTAAAAACACAATGTGACTTAATATATATCTAGCAACAGGGGGTATGACTCGGCGCCAATAAATGAACAAGTTTAGTGTTGTTATAATAATGGAATATCTCATTAATAAAAATAGATAAGTTGTTAATCTGATGATTTTTTTAATATTTTTATCTTTTTAAAATCATTAAAAATTCTTCCTTACATAAAATTCAGTTAATTGTACAGATTTTAAAAAATCTTAGAAAATATTACCACCAATGCAACTGGAATAACTCAGACATTTTTATGTGTGAGTGAGGAAGAATATGTGTGGACACAGGAATCAATACTGCATAGTTACAGTCAATATAATGACTCAGTACACGATCTTCAAACCAAACATACATACACACACACATATATATATATATATATATATATATATGTATGTATGTATGTATGTGTGTGTGTTGAACAATAAAAAATTTCAGACACACTGGGCTGTATATTAATATTTTTTGTTTTATTATTTCAATTAGGTTCCTCGACCAGTTTCGGCCAGCATGGCCATCATCAGGAGAAAAAGAATTCCCTGCTTGTTAGGAGCAGTGAAATACAGGAGTGAAAGAAGGCACGGTGGAGTAATGGATAGCAGCTCGGATTGAGAACCGAGTTCGAATTCCAGTCTTAGGTGCTAATATACTTGGGAAATGTATGAAGCCTCTTCTTCAACCAGCTATGTGTAAATAGCAGGACAGACCGGGTTCTATATCCTTAGATGGCAACTGGTCTACCGCAGAAAGTAATGGCAACCTACTGCGGGGTGGGGGGGGCGTCTGCCTTGTCAGTCATGTATCAAAAGATACATGATCGCCTAAGTGTGTAACATGACAGGAGGGGACGACTGTGTCCGAAGAAAGTGAACTTTATCTGTGGTTTTTATCGTTAATTTTGGTCAGTCCTTGTACTGGTTAAACGGCCTCTTTTAAGTTGTTTTTAAGCTGGGAGATTCTTGAGTCTCAGAATTCCCTCCTTAGTCATTTTGACAGTTTATATATATATATATATATATATATATATATATATATATATATATACACACACACAAAGATAGAGATAAGTAGATGGATATAGAGATAAAAAGTGAGAATTAATACAAGTAAAAGGTTTATCACTTAGCTGATGTTACCTTCATCATCCCGACTGCAGAGTTTGGTAGATGGAGCCTCGGGGAATGACTGCGTCCACTCGCCATGGAGTGTCAGCAATTGACTAGTGTGTGTGTGTGTGTTTGATACAAATCAAATAGACCTATCAAAATACTAGAATGAAAACCAATTTACTCGCCGGCAACAATCAAACGTACTTCCCCACTTTGTAGAAGAAACTGCCGTTTGATACAGCGTGCTTTACCGTTAGGCTACAGCGAGCATGCCGGATCAAACAGTGTTTTCTCCTATAAAGCGGGTCGCAGGTTTGATGTCTACCGTCGAGCACTTTTTTTTATTAAAATTTCTCTAATGCGCAAACCGATAGACGTAATACACACTGTTTAAAATAAAATAAAATAAGGCGTCTATTTCAAATGCGAGAATCCTCTTTAATAACGTTTGAATATATATTTATAAACATACAAATTAAATACGATAAAAATGATGGTGTTATTAAATAATTCTATTTTTGAGGTTCTCTTCAAGAAAGACGCAAACAAGCCGTCGTTAGAATTATCTATGCAGTTGTGAACCAACGAGCCGTGGAGAATTTAAAACAATGACTACGGTCTACTTGTTTCAAACACCAAATTATATTACGAGGGTAGAGAAATATTTTTCGGCCTATCCTTCTAACATCTGACCAAGTGACAACAATTAACATTTTTTTAATCCCATCTTGATTGGGTGTGCGGGTATTCTAAAGCTTACTGGCTCGGAAAGAAGTCCGGCCGTGTTCGTTACTTTCGTACAAATACACCCTTGAGAAAGGGGGGTATGAATTCATCTCTCCTATCCCAGTTATTGACTAAATAGCAGAGTAGACTTGGCTCTCTAGCCTTGGTTGGCAATCAACCAATCTGTAAAACAGTACCCCGGGCCACACCCGAGGATGTATCGGACCGTAAAAACGCGTATTGACTGAAGCTCTTAACCCTTTTGAGCCCTGTGTTCCTGAACAATTTTAACCCTTCTTCTGCCTGAGGCTCCAGAGTCAAAATTCGCAAATAATTGCTATGTAATGTTTCACGGGAGATATAAAAATAGTTACAAATAGTATAAACATTATACTTAGCAGGGAGAGAGTATGATTGCATGTCTTCACTTTATCGCCAGAATTCTTTCTTTGTGTTCCAGTCTACCTAACAGGTGCTGCCTCTCCTGATGCACAAGACGCGCTGGCATGTTGTGCAGCGGACTGAAGACTACACAGCCTTGACAGAATAGTCTTTGCAGGCCACAGTTGGGTTTTTCAGTTTGAATGTATTGTATTTAGCACAGCGGAGGCATTTTCTTGTATTTCTGGGAAGTGGAGGCCGAAATTTTGCAGGCACACCAGAGCATTAGCATTGATTGATTGCCAGCGCACTGCATCTGACCGGAGTGCACCCACCAGATCCACACAATATTGACCTAGGAACTTTCTGAAGCTGGGGTAATTAGCTTCCTGAGGGAAAGTTGCCTGGAACAACATAACAAAACACGACACAAGTGTTTACCCACCGTTCAACCGGTGGCTGGGCATTAAGCCATTTTTCTCTATCACCGGATAAGCGGTGGTCAGGGCTCAAACGGTTAAGACATGCTAGTTTCGAGATCTTTTGTAGGTGGAGATATAGGAACAAAAACTTTTCAGCGCCCAACCCTTGTAGTTAAAAAAAATTTTAGTCGTTTAAGTGGACAATTCTGGTCACTTGATTGTAATATCCTTGCGTTTTTATAATTAGATGAGAGCCAGTTCGTCGCCATGATGAACAGACAGAGGACATTGTTTAAATATTTGGAAGAGACATGTTATAATGGTCGATTTAAAGACGGAAATGAACTTAAATTTGTGGTAATTCAATTTTTATATACTTTAAGTAACAGGAAGTACATTTAGCTTTCAATTAGT